AATGCCTCTATTGTGGATTTCTTCACTTAACTGCAATTTATTCAAATGATGCATACATACAATTATTTTCAAGGTCTATGAAGCAACAGGACACCAGACTGTGGATTTGTATTCCTCTTGAAATTCACTCATTTTTCTTTCCTTTAGTGGCTCCTTTATCAATCACCTTCGTATGTCCAGAAAGCATCCTTTTCAGAAGCTAGGGTTTATATGGTCTCTATGGAGTTCTGGCACAATGTTCTAGCTTGTATGTAGTCCCTCGCTTTTTGACCAGATTCACCCATAGCCACCATTCATCTCTATCTGGTATCTATGACAATAGGTTTTTTATTTTGGTCTTTCTTGCATGGGGAGATGGTGTATAACAATAAAAGATCCTAATGGTCCAATTAGGACTTAATAACTGGTGCCCCTGGGCCAAATTTGACCTACCTCTTGTCTTATAAATTAAAGTTTTAGTGAGGCATTATTATGTCTATTCACTTAAGTACTACCTACTGTTGCCTTTGTAAGGCGGCAGCTGAACCGACTAGTTTTGATAGAAACAATGGAATACGTAATACCTAAACTATTTGTCACCAGGCCTCTTGAGGTCTCCACGCTTGCATTCACCCCTACATCCTAGATTGAAAGCTCCACTGCCATGTGGCAGTTTTAAGAAATGATGGCTGTGTCCTGTCTGTCCATTTTGGACTGCATACTGTCAGCAGTCGATGCGAGGGCACTTTCTTGCCCAGTGGCTAACACTGGGAACAGGGCCAGTTGTGGTGGCACATGCCTAAAAATTCCAGCACTAGTTAACCATGGAGGTCGGGAGGTCTGTACAGACAGACAGGAAATGACAGAACTGGGCCAGAAGAGGAAGTGATGTAGCTGGACAGAGAGAGCAAATCAGATGGCAGAACAGCAAGGTACATAGGTGTGGGTAGACAGGAAGTCACTCGCCTTTGGAAGCTGCAGAGTTGGTGAGGTAAGGTGGTTGTTCCTATTCCTCTGATCTCTCTCAGGTTTTAACCCCTAAAAAAAAAAATGTCTTTGGCAGTTGATTATATCATGGAAGCAGAACTTTCATGGGGGGATTGGCACTTTATCTGAGAGGCCCTGCTTGTTGGGCCTCACATTCCATATGTGAGGTCATCTTGAAATGACACTATCAGACACTGTCTGCCAACACCTCAATTTTGGACTTTTCAGTTTCTAGAACTATGATAAACAGATTTCCATCCGTCCCTTACAAGCTATTCAGTTTATGACATTTTGCTATAGCTGCTTGTATAGATTAACATAGGGCCCTTTAAAGAAAAAGTTTTCCCATCTCAAAACTACTCTTAAATATTCTATCAGTTCACCTATTTCTACCCCCTCCTGGACTACGGACATCAGGCCTACCTAGTGTTTTCTCTTCCTCAGTCCTTAGAGGAGTCTTAGTGGCAGTACTGCTTTATCATTCCACATATTTGCACTTCGGTTTCTATTCCCTGGCATATCCATTTTCACTTTTGAATCACAAATACAGCTACCAAAGAGTGTTTCTCTCTCTGCTGTTGTTTTAACCCGCCTTTTCATGCCTCTTTTGCCAACTCACTGCCGTTTTCATGGAGTTGGCCAAATTAGCAGTTAGTGCTTTTCAGGGGAGTGGAACAACTCCAGGTATTTCAAGTGGCGAGACTATAGTTCAGGAGCTGTAGATGTTGTGGACCCCATGATGAGGTTGGAGGTCACAGGTATGTAAAGTTTCTAGTGTTCTTAGGGTTCACCATGAGCTCTCAGAGAGTCAGAGAGTTCAGAGCTGTGGAAGACCACCAGCAAACCATGATGGGTAAGACACCAATCAAGGCACAAAACTGAAAACCAGCTGTGGGGAGCTGCAAGCCTCAGGTTCACTGAAGCTGCATCTGGACATCTTTTCCCAAGAAACAACAAAATCATGTCTGCCTCTAGTCTTGTATCCCCTTAGCAACCCTCAGCAACTCACAACTGCCCTGGTCAGGGATGCTGGGAAATGTACACCCCCAGGGTTTTAGCCCCTAGAATACATTGGGGAGAAAAGAATGGTGCTGTGTTGCCAATAGATGAGCGACAGTGGATAAACGGGGGAGGGGAGTAATCTAACCTGCTTGATTTTCCAATCCTACTTTTTTTCTCAATATCATCAAAGCTTCCAGGAGGCTTTTGAAGTCTTCTAGATACATACAGTACTAGACTTTGGATCCATAGACTTGAGCTGGGCACTGAGTGTGGTGGGACCTCATATAATTTTTGTGGCCTTGACTTCTTTGGATCAAATAGAAAAATGAGCAAGCAAACAAAGAAAAAAAATCACCAAAGCCCACTTGGTGGATGCCACGAAGAGACAGAGGTGGTACATATTAACGGTTCCATAAGCTGTAAAATGCTACATGAGCAAAAAGTACAAGTGTATAGATAAATTAATTCTGGCTTACATTTTTTTACTCTAAAGCACAGGAATGCCTGCCTCCAAGGAATATGAGTACCTGGCAATCTCACTTTGGATTTCTTTCACCCTGATGTAGCAACACATCACTGTTGTACTGAATTCATTCTTTAGCGGCATATGGCAGATGCTCTGATGGAGAAGAGCCCTGAGCAGCTGTACTTGAGGAAGCTGCCTTGGCATCCACTTCCCATTGCATGGCTTTGTCTCATGCAGAGACATCGAGATTACATGACATCGCTTTTATTTTTAGAATTCCAATCGAGATAGCTTGCTAACAACATCAGTCTCAGATACCAAGCATGTGTCATAGTCCAAAACATTACTATCTATAAAAGGAAAAATAAAACTTCTACTAGTTTAAAAATAGTTCCTGTCTTCGTTTTTCTCAGTGCTCATCTTGTGCCTTAATTGTGACTATTGCCTGTCCAGATATTAAAGGATGTTCAAATAATGCAGTGGGGGTGTGATGCACCAGAGATTGAATTATGTTCTGTGCTGACCCCTCTTACAAAGAGAGGAATAAGAATAACAATTGGGAATCATGGAAGGTGGATTCACTTAGAAGGTTAAAGATAGAGGACTGTATTAGTTTCTTTCTTTGATATTACAACAGAATCCCTAGCAAAAGCAACCGAAGGGAAGGAAGGTGGGGTTTTTGGTGCAGGTATTGTTTTTGCTTGTTTGTTTTGAAATATATAGTCTGGGGTCCACATGTCAGGGAAGGTGTGGCAACAGGATCAGCAAATGGGTGGTCACATGGTGTCCACAGTCAGGAAGTAGTGATGAATGCTTGTGCTCACCCACCTTCTCCTCTGTATTCAGTCTTGGACTTCAGCCCATGGAATGGTGCCACCCACATCCGAAGTGGATCTTCGAACCTCAGTTAACTGATCTGGAATACATGGTCCTTCACAAACACACTCAGACATCCCTTTCCATGATGCTTTGGAGATCCAGTGATTTGACAATTAAGATTCATCGTTGCGAGGACTACCAAGTTCCTGATAATAGATTTATGTAGATATTCAGGCAGAATATCTATATAAATATGTACATATTCCATTGTCCCCAGAGAGGGAGCACTCAAAGTTTGTATGCTTCGTAAATTTATAGCAAACACTTCTCCCAACCTTGGCAGGAAGATATATTCACAAAGGGATAAATGTTGGAACTAATTCTGACATAGAGACAGCTTCTGGGGGACTTATGTGCCAAGAAAGGGCTTTCTAAGATCTGGTTCTCAGATTCTGGGAGATATGAGGTACTTCAGGTCAAACTATTTTAGTAGGGTAGAAAACAATTACTTGTTTTTCTCTGTAAATTCTACTGATAGTTCCCAATAGTATCACTTGACTCAGTGATGGGCCAAGCTTAGAATGGGTCCAGTAACACCAGATTATCAGTAGTTTATCACATTCTTCACTTATTTGTACTTGTATTGTAAAAAAGATAAACCATTTTTCTTTAAAAATACCACTGATGGAACTGTCAAAATTAATGTTTTATTAACACTGACACTTGAGTATAAATCCTTTTTGTATTCTCTGTGGCAAACAATACATAGAAAGCATAGCTAATTCAAAACAATGAAGACCATTGTCCCAAAGGAATCTACCTCTCAGTGATATGAGTTGCCAGGTGAACTAGAGGTATTTGTCGTGGAACAAGAGAATGACCAATAGAAAGACTATGGTTGCGTTGAGTTGGGAATTGGTAGATGTTTTCTGAATGTCTCTAAAAATTTCCCTGGTATTAGTATTGAAACTTCAGCAGTTTCTTGGGAGCCCCTCATTGAGGACAAACCAGAAAGATTGGCCACTGTAAGAATGCTACCATTTTAAGGAAAAGATTGACAATATTTACTATTGATCGCATTAGAGCTTTGAAATCAAAATTAGAATTCTGAGAAACTTGTATGACCATTGTGAGCTCAGTAGCTTCCCAAACCTTCAAAACTTCTGTGAGAAGATGAATGTGATATTTGTAAATGTGTTTCATACTGCACAGTGAAATATGTCAATATTTGGGATATCTAAATGGTTCCTGTGAACTGGTATTTTCTAAAAGGCCAAAGCGGGATATAACAATGTCTTAGATGGATAAAATCTAAAGTATGAGATGGGTTGAGGCTAGGAAACAAATTCATCAGGGATGAAGAGTTCACTGATGTGCTATCCTCTTTACTACAACTAATCATTTAGAAACTGCCATTTTCAGGGTTTTGATATATTATCAAAGAAGAGTCAAAATCCTCTGAAAAAAATATTAAGTGCTGTGCTCTCCCTAATAGTGTCTGAGCAAGGCAGTGTTTTCTTCAACCAAAAGTAACAACTCATACAAAGCAAACACAGAAGAAGATATAAGATTCCAATGATGTCTTATAAAGCTGGTAACAGAAAAAAAATGCAGTAAAGCACAAACATTAAAATGGTAGTTTTTAAACGAAATTCTATTTTACTTTGGAAAATACACATACTTTTCACACAAATATATTAAAGCTGTAGATTTACTATATTTCTAGCACACTGACAAACATTAATTATAGAAACATTACTTAGGGTAATAATTAATTTTCCTAGTCATCTCTACTTTCATTATTCTGATTATGTTCTAAGATAAATTATCACTTCAATGAAAGCATGTATGGTCCTAATACTCAATATGGTGTAATGTTGGACCACATGGACTATAAGAATAAACCTTCTAGCTTGGACCTTATCTTAGTTCCTTATTGGATAAGTATGTGAATCCCAGACTTGCCTTTTCTTTTTGTTAATGTTGGCACTTTAAAATGAAAGTAATAATTGTAATAACACTATAAAGGTTACAGAAGAGCTACTTTGTGAGCATAGAACATAAGTCATTCTAAAAAATGTGTCAGTTGCTATACTTAAGAATATTGAATGCAATTAATGTTTGGAGGTGCTATCGTTTGGATACAGTGAGAGTGTATTCCCTAGCCCAAAGTTCATGTCCATGAATCTTGGTTTCGGAATGTGGTGGTGTGGAAGTGGTAGAAATTTAAAAGGTGGAGCCTAAGTGGAAGATAAGTAGATCATGGAGATCTGCCTACAGAAAGGGTTAATGTTGGTCTCAGGCAGTAGATTAAATCCTTAGAGGATGGTTGTTATAAAGGAGTCTGGTGCCTTCTTTGAATTCCTTTTTCTACACACGCTGCTGCACACCACTCTCACAGGAGCTGTTTTAACTGTGATAGCACCCATCATGAGGTCATAACCAGAGCCAAATACACTCTGATACTGAGGTCTTGAACCTCCAGAGCTATGCACTAAATAAATCTCTTTTCTTTATAAAATACCCTGCCTCACCCATTTTGTTATACCAAGAGAAGACAGACAAAGATAGAAGAGAGACATCTTACTTATTTTTGTTTTCATGTGCATTAAACAGTACTGATATTAAATAAGAACAAAATAAATACTGGGTGAATGATGCCTGAAATACTTACAGAATTTAAAAATTCTTATCTCATATTTGCATGTTTTAGCTCATCAGATTCTTTCAACATCTTTTGATATAGCCAGAACAGAAATTAGTATCTCTTTCTCTCTTTAAAGATGAGCAAATAAAATAAAACCAGACTGTTTCCCAAAAGATGCCACATAATAATCAATTTCAGAGTTGGAACTAGGATCAAGTTTGCCCAGCTATCTCATATCCCATCTTGCATTATGTGAAAAAATTATAGAAAGTATTGAGACATGCCACTTTCATATAAAACAGTGTTTTTCTAAAAGAAAGTTATTTCAATGGGAAAAATAATTTGACTTTTAATTTCTTAAATGTATGCTGTTTCCCCAAGATAGAGGAACCATCGAGAAAGCAGAATTATTTTAAACAATGGGAATAAACAATTTCAAGATGGTGTTTGCCTCTGAACAAAGAATGACAATTGGAGTTCCATTTGTCAGACAGGACAGAAAGGCATAAAAGATGAATTACGGCCTTATTCTTTGAGTATAAATGGAATCTCTCGGATCAAACTGCTCCTTTGAATTCTATGAAGAAGTTTAGAAGCAAATTCACCATGTAGAATATCAATAAATGCATTTCTGATGAGACTGAACACCAGGGTTGAAGTAGGGGGAGATATTCGAGAAGTCACTGCTTACTGCAAAGTGGGCTGGAAACAGAATCCTGTGCAAGTCTTGTATTGCTTGGAGGCTGTGTCTGGCCAGTATCCTGCCCTATCCACCCCTGAGGAAGGACACTTCACATGAGTTCAATATTGTGTACTTGACCACATGCTATTTTCTTCTGAGTCAAGTCAGTCCTTTGTCCTCCTTCCAGTTCCTTTGTGTTCACTTGGAGACTCTCTGTGGTCTCCATGCTCAGTCATCTTTTCATGCTTGTCTGAACGCTGATCAAAGGTCAGAAGGAGGAGCTGTCTGGGCCATTCTGTCCAGCCCAGATTCTATACTGTTCACTTCTCTTTTGCCTACTTCTTGGCTCAGGGATATTGCCTCTGGCCTTTAGTGGCAGGCTTGTTTTGCTTTGGATTTATTATACAGCAGGATACTTGGTTCTATAACACAGGATAGGCAAACCACCGCCTACAGGCCAACTCTGGCCTGCATCCTACTTTAGTAAATGAAATTTTACTGGAGCTCAGACATCCTTGTTCATTTTCGTGTGGTCTATGGCTGCTTTAGCATGTCAATGTCAGGACCGCATGCCCTAAGAAGATTAAATATTTAATATCCGATTCAACGAAAAAATGGCTGAGCACTTTTCTACACTAACAGAAATCTCAGATGCAGCCTTTTGTTTATATTATAACTTTCTCTATCCTGACCTTTCAGTGATGGCCAGTGCCATCTGCTGCTCACCTGTTTCGCTCTTCCCTGTGCTTACATATCATCAGTTGGACATCACCGACTATAGGAAGCAGAAACCAGCAACATACATGTTGGCTTTTCTTTCAAATGAAACAGCATCTTGGCTTCTGCTTTCGCTGTATGCCTCGAGTTTAGGTTTGGTTCATCGATAAAGTTTATTTTCCTTTCTGATCATTTATCTTTCTAAACCACATCTGTCCAATAACTGTACTGAGGGAGATAATGATTTTGTACATTGGTTTTCTCTTATGTGATACGCATGACAATATTCTCCTACTTAACCTGAACAGTAACTCAGTTGGCTGATGTTTTTATTCTTGTATTGCACACACAAAAACTATTGTATTCCTTTAAAATTGGAATATTAATTTGAGGTTTAAGTCATTACAGGAGATCTTTCCACTGTACTCATTATCTGTAGCTATGTGAAGAAGCTCCAGACTCAGAAGCTTTGTATAACAACATGTGTTTTCTCCCCGTGTCTGTAATTCAGGAGTCCAGGTGCAGCTTAACTGGGTCCTCTGGCTCTGGGATCGCTCACACACGGCAATCAGAGTGCTGGTCTGCGTTGCAGTCATCTCAAGTCTCTCTGCTGGGGAATGAGCAGTTTCCAAGTTCAGTCACATGGCTGTTGGCAGGATTAAGTTCCTCCTGGGCTGCTGGCTGGAGGCCACCCTCAGTTGCTTGCCACTTGAGTCTCTCCATAGGCAGCTCCTGATGTGGCAGCTGGCTTCATCAAAGCAAGCAAGCAAGCAAGCAAATATCAGAGAGAGCACGGAGTCTGGTGAAGTCATTTCTTCTTTGTAAATGAATCCTGGTAGTGAGACTCTATCTTTGTGACCACATTCTATTCATTAAAATTGAGTCACTGTATTCAGGGAGAGGTCACACATGTGCATGATAACCAGGAGGGGTGATATTGAGGAAGCATTCAGTAACTGCCTACAGTGGTCATCTCCCGGTATAAATATGTACCTGTACCTTTAGCCTTCTTCCAATCTCTTCTTATCCTGTGTAGGGTCAAGATCAGATGCCTGGTACTCTTAACACTCGTATTCACATGCTGGTGCCCTTTTCACTTCTGGAAGCTCCTCTCAGACTAACGCTTCATTCCATCAGCTTAACCACTATGTCAAGAGGTTGTTGCACATTATTTCCTTTGGGATTTTGGAGACATTTAATACTTAACTAAGTTATACTCCATAGGAAAGCATATCCATTGTTCCCATCAGAGAACACAGCTAGAATACACGCTTAATGCTAATATGGTTTTGATTAGGTTTGTCTTCTGGAGCAATAGGGGGCTTGCTATTATGTGTATAGGTCTGCATTTGGGGGACATAGAGTGGACCATTTCTTATCCACCCAAAGATCTCTCTATGTGGAAATGTGTCTCTGCAGAAACAAAGATTTTATTTGCAAGTGATCATGTGTTGACTGTTACACTTCTAATAGAGGCATTGATATTTGTTGGTTGTCTCTATCCAGCATGATGAAATGAAGATTAATTTTTCTGCAGCTTAGTCCAGAAATAATACCAGCACACCTTCCATGCATCACTTTCCACGGAACTACACAATAAATGTCCTGGTCCATGCCGCCTCTATGTTATCCCGTGCTGACTCACAGAACCAATCTGAGTTCATATTAATGTGAGCTTATAATTTCTATGGCAACTCTAACTGTTATCTTATGATGACTTCTGGAGCTCCCCAGGCAGAGGGAGCCAGCTCAGGGCTTTAAGAAAGAGCTTCCATGATGTCTTGACCCATTGAAATGAAAGGTTGTTTTTAAAAAGTCAAGAGTACAATAAACTCACCCCCTTCTTCAGAGCACAGCTTCTCCCCTCTCCCAACCTAATTAGAGTAATTGGTGTTTAAGGAGATATTGATTTGGCGTGATGGTTTTCTCTTGTCTGGCACACATCACAACATTCTTCTTACTTAACCCAGATAGCAATCTGGTTGACTGATGGACAGAATTCTGCCTTCCGAAGTCCAACCTTGGCATACATGTCTCAAGGAGAGATGAGTTCAACTGGCTGCTGATGGCATTATTGCATGCATAAATAAACCAAGGAAATAGAAAAAGGCCAGGACAGAGGGCTGCATTAGTCTGGCCTTGTTAAAAAGTGTTATGCTGTGGGGACTCGTCTTCTGCAATTCAAATTAGTTTTCTTGGTTTTTCTCTTGGCTGGGCCCCCTGTGCTCTCTGAGTGATAACTCTGGCCCATCCCAGCGACAGGTAGAATTGAAAAGTCTTTTTATTTCCATAGGCTTAAGCCAAACCTCTCCAAACAAGCTATTCCAGAGCTGAGCCCGAGCCCGCTAATGCCTCGGTTGGCAGCTCAAGCGCGGCCTCCTCCTTGGCGAGCCCAGAGTCGCTCTTATCCACTTCAGCTGTCTTTTAAAAGCCTCCTCTCACAAAAGACAGAGCTGCTCTCAAGGGCCTGGGAAAAATAGAAAATTTTCACACTGTGATGGGAAACACTGTCAAGAACGGAAACGCTACAGCGAAGCGTCAGACACCAGTGTGCAGTGGCAGTTACAGTGAGGGGATCAGGCTGTGTGGGAGAGAGAAACACCCAAATTAACATAGAGAGGTAAGCTATAATTACAGTATTACCAAGGCATTCTTCAGAGAGTGCACAATGTCCTTGCCTTTTGTTGACTCTGGTGTGTGTTTCTTCCCTTCACACATCCTTCAATGGCGTCTTGAGCTGTGGAGGCCCCTGACATTTTTGTGGGGAGTCAATTTTTGCTCATTTGAAAGATGAGCATTAAATAGTGCAGCTTTTATATCACTTGCTCCCTATGTTTTCTTTTTTATTCTTTTCTAATTCTTCTTTAAAAAAAAAAAAACACCACAGCTTATCAAAGCCACAGTTCTAAGAAAGCATAGCATGTGAAATCATGGCAGGCACTGTGTGAGTGTGTGTGTGTGTGTGTGTGTGTGTGTGTGTGTGTGTGTGTGTGTGTGTTCCTATTTATATCCCTCTTTAGAGATTGACAGTTCACATCTCCCTAGCTATGGATTTATGTAGCACGCACCACCAAGGCACCCCAAAAACTCAAAGGAGAACAATAATATCCTTTATACTTCAGCCAGGGGGTGAGGTTGAGTCACCCCAACCAATGGTGCATAAACTCCAAAGACTTTGCTTAGGTTGTGATGACTGCTCTTTAAATTGATATTGACGGCTGCAAAACAAACAAACAAAAAAACCCACAACAGGTCTCAGAAGAGTATCAACATATGTGACAATGTACTACACAGCACAGAGAGTTACTGAGCTTTCAAATATTCTGGGATTGCATCTTCCAGCAGAAATTGCCGTTTCATTAGCATTTATGACTAGCTTCCCAGGGATGGTCGCCAAAAGGATGAAAGCAGCAAGCAGAGCCCAGCACAAGCCACAGCAGCCCTTCCGCAGCCCCACACAAAGGTGCTAACTAGTGCTGGATCCCTCCATGGACACGGAGGACCCAGGACAGAAAGAGCTGTGACAATGGAGCTATTTCCATTATGCCCAGGCAAACAAAAAAACAGGCTCAGTGAAATAAAATGGTGCTTTCTAGAGTTCTAGGTCAACTAACGGCTTCCAAGTATACATGGAACCGTTAGGTGGAAGGTTATGAGAAGTCATTTTCTATGGAGGTAATTAGCCCCTGCCTAGGGAAAGTGAGGCTCAATCTCATTGGTGACACTGTTTCACTATAAAAATAGTTGCAGCAGAGTGGAGTGGCTGCAACTTTCTTGTGATAAAATTTTGTTTTCTCTTTTAAAAAAATGAATTTGCATTAACTACACTCAAAGCTTATAATGTTGTGGGGTAGCAACTTCGATGAATGCCTCAATTCCAGCAGTGACCATTGATTGAATGTTCGCCATTTGGCTGTCCTACCCGAGCCTCCTTATCTCATTCCCTTCTCAGTACTCTGAGGAGAAGGCATTGTTATCTTTGTTTTCCAGATGGAGAAAGAAAGGGCTGAATGAGGTTGAGTCTCTTCCCTAAAACCTTGTAGGGAAAACATGATAGAGCCCGGATTTAAAGCAAAGGCTTTGAGTCCTCTAAACCCATGCCCTTTATCCATCTGAATGAGGCATGAAGATAACACCTTATGCCCCAGACCTTGCCCAAGAGCCCAGGTAGAATTCCTATTGTCTGAATGAATAAAACCCCATTCAATACCACTGAGCAATTTCTAAGTGTGTTAACCTGATAACTTAATTTTCCATTCCACCTGATATTGCGAGAACACAGTCCCAGGGATCTTTGAAGTAGAATCATTCCTTCAATAAATATTTATTGGGTTCCTGCTATGCATCACATACTGTGACCAATGCAGAACCTTAAGAAGAGAAGCTTCTTGGCTGTTTTTTTTCTCTTCCTCTTTGCTAATGACAGGACATCTGGGAAGAGTGGAATGGTATATTCCATGTTTATAAGTGAGAAAGGAAGGAAGAAATCAATAGAATTTCTGTTGGGGTAGGAGAAAGAGACGTGCCTTTGATGAAAATAGAAGTGGGACTCACATGTTAAAGTTTCTTTCATGGCAATCAAGAGATGGAAACAATCTGAGCCCATCAACAGGTTTGTGGGTAAAGAAAATGTGAAATATATGCACAAGGGAACATTATTCAGCTTAAGAAAAAAAAATCTTGTCATTATTTTCAATAATATGGATGGACCTGAGGGGGCATTGCGTTAAGTGAAATGAGCCAGGCACAAATAGATGAATACCATAGGATCTCCCTCACATGTGGAATCTGAAATAGTTGAACTCATATGCTGCGGAATAATCCTCTTGTACACTGTAAAGATTTGTCACTTGAGTTGGTTTAATAGAAAGCTGACAGGCCAGTAGCTGGGCAGGAAGTTTGTTGGGAAAGCCAAACTAAGGATGCTGTGAAGGAGAAGGGTGGAGTCAGGAGTCACCAGCCAGATACAGAGGAAGCAAGATGAGAATGTCGTACTGAGAAAAGGTACCAAGCCATGTGGCTAAACATACTTAAGAATTATGGGTTAATGTAAGTGTAAGAGCTAGTTAGTAGTAAGTCTGAGCTACTGGCTGAGTATTTATAATTAATATAAGCTTCTGTGTGTTTATTTGTGCCTGGGTGATCAAGGCAGAGAAACTCTATTTTTGCTTACATTCATAAATCCATAGAGTAGAATTGTGAGTGCCTAAGAGTGAAGGAGATTGGAGAAATGCAGGTTAAGAAATACAAAATTCCAGTAAAGACAGCAGGAGAATCTTCAAGAGATCTACTGTCAAAAAAAATGCTAGAGTAACTATAGTATTATATCCTTGAAAATTGTTCAGGCAGCAATTTTTTTGTAATCTCATCAGAAAACAAAATATGTGGTGTAATGCACATGAATCTAATTAACTTGTTTTAGATATTGCTCAAAGTACATGTATATCAAACTGTATTGCCACATGCCATAAATAAATACAATTTTATTTGTCAATTTAAAAGCATATGTAAACAAATAATTGGTCCATTTTCATCGAAAGACAGAAGCATGTAGCCCTTTGAAAAAAAATATATGTGCAATTAACCATCCTCTGAATTTTGAAAAGGGCAAATTCAGAAAAGGGCATGAGGTGCGTTGTGCACTGAGCTGGAGACACACTTTGCTCTAATAAATAACTTAGGATAGAGTAGTCAAAAACAGTCTCACAATTTTGGGTTATATTAGGGATTATATATATTACAGTAGCACTGTAGAGGGCTACTGAGGCAAACTCACGAGACTCCTCTGAAGCAGCCATTCAGAAAGAGAACCATACACTTCCTGAGTCTTCTTCCAGGGTCGCAGTTAGATGCAGAACATTTGGCTGCTCTACAGAAATTTGATCTAGTGGGATAGGATATAATTTTCAAGGACCAGTTATAGTCACAAGGATGAGGAACGAAGAGCACACAGTCACGATGCTGTTCACGTCAATTCCATGGCCTTCTTAGTCTGGAGGTGAGTGTCAAGGTTGGTTATAATGTGAAAATTAGGAAAGAAGGACGTATGTCTTAGCTTAGGATTTCTATTGCTGTGAAGAGACACCATGACCACAGCAACTTTTATAAAAAAAAACATTTAATTGGGGCTGGCTTACAGTTTGGAGGTTTAGTCCATTATCATCATGTTGGGAAGCGTGGTGGCATGCACACAGACATGGTGCTAGAGAGGTAACTGAGAGTTCTACATCTGGATCAGTAGGCAGCAGGAAGAGAGAGTGACATTGGTCCTGGGCATCTGAAACCTCAAAGCCCATCCCAAGTGACATATATCCTCCAACAAGGCCACATCTATTCCAAAAAGGCCACACCTCCAATAATACCACTCCCTGAGTCTATAGGGGCCATTTTCACTCAAACCACAACACACAAGGAGGGTGAAGAGATCTAGGAGAGGATTTCTAAGAAGGGGACTGAGGCAAGCAGGGAAGGAAGCCTACTCATTTGGGGGGTACATGTGGAAAGGGGCTGAAATGCCTTGGGTTCGTGTCTTTTTGTTAGATACTTGCAGAATCCAAAGAGAAGTACAGTTCAACAAAACTTCCAAAAGTCTTGTCTTGAAAACCATAAAGTAGTCTGGTATTTGTAATTCACAGAAATTTTTATTGGCTATCTAGTCTTCATGTACTGTTCTCATACTGTACAATTCCCAGAGATTCCCTGCTCATTTCTCACTACAACATTTCATCTCCCTTGGAACCCTCATCCCATACTGTAAAGTACATATGAAAGTGGGAGTGCAACTCCCCAGACATCACACTCCACTCTGCAACCCAGCTTATCATCTCTGAAGAGGACACTCTGATAGATACATGCTCTTGGATTAGGTGGTTCATATTCTACTTTTCCATCTTAGATTCGGTTACATAGAAACCCAAGAAACCACTTGGGTAATGGTTAGCACAGAGGAAGAGGAAAAGCTGATTCATAAGGCCAGATCTTCTGTCAAGAAAGAAAGCAGGAAAGGAGCTATAGAGGGACCATACATTAATAAAATTTTGTCTCTTTGTAATCTGACAAAAACTAAAGTCCAAAGCAGAGAGTGTAGTACCCTTGTAGACATAATTAACTAAGTGAGATTCTCGGCAATTCCATTATGGAAGAACTACCTATGTTGCTTTCTAACTCTTGGTACCATGAAGATACAAGTGCAGCCATGAGAAGCTCACATCTAAGATTGCCACCATTAGAATGGAGAGCATGGAGGTCACCAGTTCCATCGTTCATACACAATTATTTTGACTCCAAACACTCTAAGCCTAATGTACATGGATTCATACAAACAAATAGCTCTTGTGTCCACAGGGAAGCTTCTTTGCAGTTAGTCTGTGATGTTAGTACAGAAGAATGTGGGGAATTAATAAACAAGGAACAATATTCTGTCTTTAAGATATTTTAAGGGAAATGGCTTCCTGGGGGCAGGTGTCTCCTGAGTGCTTGATATCCTAGCAAGGCAGTTAAAATGAAGCTCCTTTAGTCGTGATACCTGATACTCTCAGAAGGCAGACACAAATGACTGGTTGCAAAGCCCATCATTCCTTGATCTGCCCAACAAGTATTTGGCAGTGCCTGATGTCAATG